CGTGAGCCGCTCCGTAATTAAAGATGAAACATGGTCTAATGCAGTCAGCGGGGGGCGCCGTTAGTCTGAGCCTCAGTGAGTCGGCACTTTACCAGGAAAACGCCGCAACGACGGGCGACGACGGGCGACGGGCCACGAACACGGCCGTTTATGTGCAGCCCACGTGGGCGTGGGACACTTCTCACCGTAATAACGAGGATCCTGGCAGGAACAGAAGAAGAAGAAGAACTGTTCAGACCTGGTCTGATGTTTGTGCCGCTGCAGATCAAGGCCGAGGGGCTTCTCTGCCAAAGTCCATTAAGAAAATGTGAAATTTAACGTCCGGCCTCGCAGGAGACGTCGATCCGCAAAATGTGAAATTTAACGTCCGGCCTCGGAGGAGACGTTGATGTCTCCGTCTCACGAGACACAAAGACGTTGTCTCTAAAAAACAACGTGTTGGACATTAGCAGTCGGGCTGCGGCCCAGGGACACCACCCACGTGGTAAACATGGACATTTATCTCGTCGTTGTTTCCCAAAGACTGGGTCGCGGCCCTCAGCTGGGTCACGATCTTTTTTTTTTTTTGGGGGCCGTTTCGCGTCATGTTTTCAAGGAGTTTACGAATAACGTCTGTTGACTCGTTTGTGACTTTTAAAATATGGGTCCCCAGAAAATCATGTGGTCTAAATCCACCTGTATCAGAATGGGTGACAGGCTCTTTGTGCTCCACAGCTCCCCCTGCTGGACACATCTCAAACAAACTCCAACGCAACCCAAACTTTGCTCGTTTGTGACTAAGATCAGAGAAAAAACAAAAACAAAAAGAAAAAAAAAACGTCTTGGCCCAGAGTGTGGCCTACTTCTGTTGGCCCAGTCCTGGGTGTGGGCTGAATGTTCAGGTCGGGTCAACTCTCTTTTTCCGGGGCTTAAATTAGCTTTCAGGTGTGGCTGTTGTTTTTGACCTTTGACCTCTGCAGTCCACTCCGCCCTGATTGGCTTCTTCCTGTTCAGGTGAAACCTTTTCTTCACCTCTGTCTCCTCTTCCTCCTCCTCCTCCTCCTCACCCTCCATATTCATTTTTAAAGATGTCTTCATGGAGATGTTTGTTTTTTTGTTTTTTTTTAATAACTGTTGTAAAGACGATGTCCAGGATGAGTGGACGTGAACGGATGAATTATACAAGAGCTGCAGGGATGAATATTTGAAGTTGTTGCTCGTCCAGTGTGTGTCCCTGACCGAGCGTCCAGAAAAACACTCTCCCAGGTCGGCAGAGAGAATTATTTATCTTCGTCCTGCGCACGTGGGAGATGAAAAATGTAACCATTCAAATAAGGTCACGGAGTTTTTCTGAGTGGTCGTTACAGCAAACAAACAAATATTTATGGTTAAACTTCTGAGTTTGATTTTATTTCAGAACGTGCGTAATATATTTACTGATGAAAATAAGTGGAATTAAGTTTTGGCGCCCCCTATCGCAACCTCAATTTAACGCCCCTTCAGCAGATGGCGCCCTCTGTGACCGTCTTTGTGTCAGGCAGACTCTGTAGTGACGCTTAAATGTCCAGTACATGGACTGATGCTAGCGGGGAAAAAATGCGATTTAAATATGGGCCACGTTATTTTTTTCTGGACTGGGTCAGACACACTTCTTTGGCCCAGATATGTTATACATGTGGGCTGTACACCTAGGTTTTTTTTTTTTTTTTATAAGTCTCCAAACAATGTTTTCAAGTCCAAAAAAGAAAGTATAAGTCTCCAAACAATGTTTTCAAGTTTAAAAAAGAAAGAAGATTCATAACAAACAACAGTGAGTCGTCAGCGTACGGTTTGACCCTCGTCTACGTTTACTCTAATTACTGCTGTAATATCAACTGGTTTACTCTGTTAGTACTGCACTGTAGTAACAGTAGAGACCAGAGGGTGTGTGTGTGTGTGTGTGTGTGTGTGTTTGATCATTTGTCACAGGTGTTCACGGAGCCTGTCAACTGTGTCCCATCCTAACGCATGGTTACCTGTTTTGTCCCCCCCCCCTTACAGCTCTGGACACCGCCCCCTCTCACTTGCTACCCTCTCCCTTAAAAGGACTGTCTCTCTACCTCCTCACCCCTCTCTGTCTGTCCTGTAGTCTCTCTCTCTCTCTCTCTCTCTCTTTCCTCCTAAACGTATATTTTTTCTCTCCTCTTCACACACAGCTCCGTCCGTTCTGCTAAAACCTCACCCTCTCATCACTAACTCACCCGTCTCACCCGTCCCCTCCTTGTGGTCCTCTGTATCTCACCCACTCTATCTCCCTCACACTCCTTTCCTCCTGAAGTGACTCTCCTCCCCTGTTCTCCCCCCGTCCCCTTCTCCTTCCTCACCCACAGGGCCCCGCGCCTCCCGCTGACCCCTCCAAGGTGAAGGCTGCTGCCTCGGAAAAGAAGAAGCAGGAGTCCCGCAAGGATAAGAAATAGGATACGGGGAGGGGCTGGGGCGGGCTCGCCAGCCGGCTACTCCAGCCCATTCGCCAGGCGGCGGCGGAGTTGGCGGTGAGCGGCTGGCCTGATCGGCATCGAACCTTAGTCAGAAAGGCAGAGAAGGTCGGAGCAGGGGGGGAGGAGGGCCGAGTGCTGATGACCATCGAGTTGGAGCTGACCCGCAAAAATGGGGAGGAGGCGCCGCCACCCCGGCGAGAGGCGGGGCCCCCGGCGGCCCCCCACACCGGCCCCCCCTCCCCCCCCCCC